TATTATCATTACATGTACGATTATTTGTGTATTATCACTAACCGAGGCAGTAAACTGATTATTTATATATGATGATATTATCATCATTAATTATAACTTAACGATTTTTTGTTATAACCACTACAGTCATGTCTGTTAATGTTGCTGTTATTATCATTTACTTTTACGGTAATATGTTTGTTATTCATTATACCGCTCCTTCGTTTATTGTCATTATACACATATTTCATGTTATTATTATCATAACTAGTAACTTTACGGTTATTTGATGGTTGTTATCAACAAAAACCGTCAAGTTATTCTGACCAATATATTTATTTGATGTAATAGTTATCATTATCTTTATCGGTTATCGTTGTTATTCACCATAACATCCAAATGAAGTATCATTAGAGTCATTTGATGTTGTTATTATTTTCTTTACGGTTACCTGAATGTTGTTATCACTTTACCAGTCCATTGATTATTACCATTTTTTATATTTTATGTTATTTATTATCATATCTATAACCTTTAAGGTTATTAGGTTGGTGTTATCTCTAAAACAGTCAAGTGACTATTATCATTACAATCAGTTGATGTAATGACTATCATTACCTTTCACGGATGTTTGTTTGATGTTATCACCATCCAGTCAACTGATAACAATCATATAGGTATCTTATGTATATATAGCACTAGCTTTACGGTTATTTGACGGTTGTTATCACCAAAATTAGGAAATGATTATCATCATTACATTCAGCTTTATTTGTGGATATTATTATCATTACCTTAAAAGTTAATGATTTTCCGTATTATCATTGCAGTTTTTTATGTAATCTTTAATATAATTATTCCTCTTGTTTCCAACACCAATACAGGCACTTTGTAACCATTACTATCACCATTATTACGGGCAAATAAAATTCGGTCAATTTATGCTCAATTTATCATTATTATCACATTTAGTTAATCAGCAGAATTATCATAACATCATTCATGTTTTGGTCATTATTATATTTACTACTTTTTCAGTTTATTTTCGTTATCAAATTAATGAATATCATAATTATCATTGTATCCCAGTTACTAGTATTTAATAGGCGTTGTTATCACCACCATAGTCGTTTGGTAATTATCATAAAAAAACCTTGCAATTATTTAGATGTTCTCATAATTAACATGTATCTTCATAGTAATTTTGTTACAAAATTATCATAACGATAACTGGTTGTTATCATTACAATTGAATGTTTATAAAGTAATGATAATCATCACGGTCAATAGGTAAAAGTCATTATTTCATAACTTTTACCCGACATAAAGAAACATCAGGCCTTGGGGTCATGAAACTTATTTTCTGACCTTATGCTTTTCATTGGTCAGTATAATTTCTTTAACGGTTTCTGACCAATCAAATTCATGGCATCTGGGTTTAAGATTCAAAAATTTCTTTATAATTTCAGACTCGGGTCTATCTTGTAGTAATATTATCATTCTTTATTCTCTCTCACAAATATACTCGAAATGTCGCTTTTTAGGTGGTTAATATTTATCTATCTAGACAGACAGACGGACGGGCGGTTTGTAATGAAAAAGAGAAGCTGTTACAATTGTTTTAATGATCAACTAACATGAAATAAATAAATGCGTTTTTCTATAATTGTAAGTTTACAAATAATGTGGATCATAGTGGACAAATTATTGCCATGATATATGATGAAACTTCGTGTGTAATTCAAAACCATTAATCATGTCATTTTTTGTTTTTAAAGTTCGCCACACCGCAATATCATTTTGATTTTAGATCTCCCTTTGTCATTAAGTAAATATCAACAGTTGCATGTAATATTCGCTTGTCAATTCATTATACAGTTACTTTTGTTCCGGATGCTTGTATATTATTATGTGCACGATAAATATCATTATATCATGTCGTAAAATGCAAACACTATATTTCATTATAAACCACTCAACATATTCATAAACTGAATAATTATAAATGTATTTTATGATAGTACAAGGCATGGGGTAGAGGCGTTCCAAAGTGGAATGTTATCATATCTAGTAGTCAGGTATAAAATATTCACAAACACGTATTAAAATCTGATATGCCATCACAATACACATATATCATTATGTCTCGACGATTTTGAATTATTTATGTTATATTAGCCATGCATGATGCAAGGCATTTGAAAAATTAAAACCGTGTAGATAATGTGATATTTGCCCTTCAAAACAGTATAGTGTTACGGAACGGGTATGATACGGGTTTTACACATGTCGATATGAAGGGTATCTGTCACGGGGATCATGCTATGCGATAGCCTCGCTCAATGCTTGATGATATATAAATATAAATGATACTGGATCATCCCTAAGTCTTTAACACGCAATTCGGCTATAAATTAATTCGGACGTATAATTGTCCTGCCTAAATGATACAATGTTTTAGTACGACTGTTTACTTGTTTGTTTTTATACTTGTTTAGTTGTTTTTTTAATGTGACGTTTTGAAACCTTTTAAGAACTATATTGTTACTCGGACTCTCTTACCTGAGAAAAGTTAAGTTTGTTAACTGTGTATTAATATCCCTCTTTGTTCGATTTTTTGCCAGCTATTTGATTACCTCGCTTACTTAATGTCATTTGTGACTTATATCTATAATGGATTACATCCATATTTTAATTATTTGTTAATAAATGTTCAAGTTTTGACAGATAAATGTATTTTAAAATGCGAACTTTCCGTCGGCACGTCACGGCATCCTGGCAAGCAGTGACACTTTTATTGTAAAAATGGTTGATAAACATGTGCTTTTAAACGGTGGCTGCTTTGATAATCAAGTGAGACAAAAATATCAAGACATTAATTTAAACCTAACAAATATGAGCCGCGTCACGACAAAACCAACGTAATGCGTTTGCGACCAGCATGGGTCCAGACCAGCCTGCGCATCCGCGCAGCAGTCTGATCAGGATCCATGCTGTTCGCTTACCAACCCTATTACAAGTAGAGAAACTGATAGCGAACAGCATGGATCCTGATCAGACTGCGCGGATGCGCAGGCTGGTCTGGATCCATGCTGGTCAAAAACGCATTACGTTGGTTTTGTCATGACGCGGCTCATATGTGTTTGCAATGGTTTAGTCATTCGGTGTAAAATTCCACCATTGCACGCTTTATAGAACATGTAAACAGTATGATAAATGATAATGTTGTAAAATTCACTACCTTCAATGAAATATAATTAATATCTGTTTAAGGTACGAACATAAATGTTTTCCCCTTTCATTGCCTTTTATAATATTCTCTCTCTTAGATAAGGCTTTAAACATTAAAATTGTTAAAACTTGTTGACGTTTTGTTGTTGTTGTTTTCTTTTTATTATACCGGTATATATGAGAAGAAACGAAATTCTAGGAATATTGTCTTTTTATGTTTTGCCCAACAACTTTATGACACCTCTTTCAGTCATAAAATAGGAATACAAACAGACATGGTCTGATTGTCGTAATCTTGTCGTATTTACATTGCGTCTTTCTGCACTTGCAGATACGCAGACGACAAAAGATTTAGTAAAGTATCTAAAAATGTACAAGTCAACAATTCAGTCACACTGGGTGATAAATTAAAACTTATGTTTAGATATTGCCGCGACTGACTTTTGACAAAAATAGAACGATAAAAGACACCTGCACGATATTTATCTATGTTACAAAATAGAAAATGTATAGAAAGTAGTTGCCCATGAATCAATTTTCTGTAACTATGATTCACACATAAATAATATCATAGTTGATATTTTTAAAACATGGACTGGTGACGTTAGAGCTAATTTTAACATATTTATCCTGCACTTTCAACTCTATATTGCTACTTTTTTTATTTACAAAAATATAGCGATTTCCAAACAGGTGAATATGTCACCATGACATTTATATGATTTTTACTATTTTATTGCAGCTAATTAGAGTTACATGCTAGTTTCGAAAAATAAAATAAAATTCAATATTCGAATTGAAATTAATTGGCATATTTATTAAAATTTACTGACTATGGTTAATAGCATCCCAAAGTAAAAGAGACACAACTTAACTATCACACTATTCAATTCAATATTGTTTCTAAATTCAAAACACGAATCTAAAATTGTATTTTCTAACTACTGGTAACCTTTATTCCTTTTATTTTAATACCTTTTAATCATTCGATATTCATGCTATTTATAACTGTTATCGTCATCAAGCCCACGAGACCTAAATATATCAATTTAAATATATACCTATGCATTGGATGTGCACAAATAAAACAAGACCCAAACATATATATTTCATCTTTTAATAAATAATCAACACATCAACAAAAATTTATATAGTAACTATCAAATTTTACATAAAGTCAACAATTTTGAACCATATATAAAATGCAGTAAGACTGAAACAAATATACGAAATATTACATCATTTATTATGTTTTAAATATTTTTACCAGATTAAACCATTAAGTATCAAAAAGCTGCATACCGAACAGTTATAAATTTACTACAAAATAAAAGCAAATTACACGTACTTTGTAAAACGTTACTAACGGAAAATAATAAAACAGCTGTTTAACCCGCCATTACAAATAGATTTACCGAATATTATACATGTATATTGGTAAAGTAATAAAAACATCTTGTCTTACGTAATTATGATTTAATTTAAAGTATTTTTTTTACTTTTGATGATGAAATTTTATGCTTTCCAAGAACAGGGAAAAACACAAAGAAGTTTGTATCTCTTACAATCTGTAAATACTGAAAAGATCACGCCATTTTATTATCGTAAAAATTTAAAATTGCCGTAATTTTATTTTTAATATGCAGTTTCACAAATTTTATAACATATTTTTTTACTTACATATAAAAATTGTATCATTTGAATAAAGAATATATCATGATGTTGCAAAATTATATATAAACTCAATGATAAACTCATTCCATTTCGTGATTTTTTTTTCACTTTTGTGGTCTTTAATTCCGACAAGTCTATCCGTTATTTTGAACGTTTTGTTAAACAAAACATATCTAAGATTAGAGTCTATATAAGACTATAGCACTGTTATTATTCTATGAATGTTTCTTTTCCAACATTGTCAGTTTCTAAATGGATCTAGTCATGGGACAGCGGCGGCTCCAACTCTTTGGCCATAAATGGAATACGGAGAATAATAGGGACCTAGTGTGGAAAGTGGTTGTCCAGGCTGCAGAGCAGTTGGAGCACTCGGAAGTGGCGACTTATATGGATGATATCTACTTCCGCTTAACACACTGCTCAATGGGCTCGGTATTGTTGGATATGCCCGTCGAAGAGAATTTGGGCTCAAACCACCATGCGCCGGCAGTGGCCCGTGAGGGTAACCGCTCAGACCAAGTGGTGGTGGTAGGCCAAGAGCAGCATAACTGGCTAGAGACGAGGCCGAGTCTGAGCTAGATGTGTGTGTACGAAGATGTTGAAGCAATTCCTCGGATGTGGAATAACGTTTACCACAATAATCATTGCCTGATACCCAATTACACACATATGGCATACCCGGACTGTGTCCAGTGACGCCACCGAGAAGACTGTGAGCGTATAAAGATGATGTAAGTCCTGGATAAGATGATAAACCTGATGGTATTGAGGGAAGTGAACTCTGCATTGAAAATTGTGGCAGCATAGAAAGTGACGATGCACCTGCCATGCCTAGCGCACTCAAACTTTGTAAGGATTTCTCATGAGCACATTGTGAGCAACCAGGAGCTGTACATGTCGAACTGACATGACTGTTCTGGATGGTCAATTGACAGTTTGTACAATATGGATCCCTGCATACAGGTACAAGCGTGGTTGCACCCGATGGAGTCCTAACACGAGCATATGACACATAAGGAGAAAGTCCTGGTGTTAATCCAGTTTTAGAAAGTGCAGCATTTTGTGCAGCAAGTGCTGCAGCTGCAGAAGCACTAATACCACTATATCCAGAGTGTGCCGCGGCCAGAGACGACGCGTATGCTGAACTCACGGATGCTGGATCCAGCGAAAAAGCATGTCCATATAAGGATAAACCTGGATGAGATAATCCAGACCCGAAACCGTTCAAACCAGGATGAATTGGTGCAGGGATTTTGCTTGTTGAAGAAGAGAAATGGTCGGGACTAGATCTGTTTGGTTTATTGTCAGAAGCATTGTCTCTATTTCTATCACTTCTTTCGCGTTCACTATCGCGATCTCTTTCACTGGATGTTGTACTAGTAGCCCTTGCGCTACTTGAATTATGACCATTGTTCGAACCTGTAGATGACACTGGTCGACTTACTGAGGTTGTGACTGTTGTAGTTTCACCGACTCTTTCTGAAGAAGTTCCTGGTGCTGGACTAGATTTGCGACTTGAAGAGCTTGAGATCGGTACGAGAGGTGGGATTTCTTTTGGGGGAACTGGTTTGTAACCGGATTTTTTCGTCGAATCTCGACCGGATTCGTTACCACTGTCATTACTCGGACTTTTTCTGCTTTCGCTAGAGCTGTTTTTGTCTGAGGATTTTTCTGATTCTTTTTTCTCCTTTTCAAGAGGTGGTATGATTGGTTTTGAAGGAGATGGGTCCTTGCCTATACTGCTGCAAGTTTGCGCTAGCAGGGCTAATGGACTCTTTTTTGCATCCAACTGAAATGAAAATTAAATAAAAAAAATTAAATCACAACCAGAAAGCAAACTGTTAACATCATCATAACTTATCTATATCAATTATAAAAATTATTCGTTACACTCCGCTGAGACGTCTGCCAAGCATTTTCAATAGAATATCGCATAAAAAGCAGACTTTTACATAGATAATTCATGCATATTTCTGAATATTAAATGACTGCCTAACCTAATCATGCCATTTAACATTCATCTTTATTCCAAATAAAAAACGTGTTGCATGGTAGAACAATTTACCATATATATGAAATATAAACAGAGACAACATCCGTGAGAGAAACAAAGAGCAGGCAGTTCTACGATCAATAAAACACTCCAAATGATTATAGAATTGACGCCTAGCCATCAATATCACCAATATAACATGGACTCATTTACAAATTAGTTGAATCTCTCCGCTTGTAAATGCCTTAATGGGCAGGAAATCGATTCTGCCGATACAATTAGATGGTGCAAAAAGTCGGGCGGTGCAAACAAGTATAAAAGAGAAAATAACAAAATAAACCATCGCTTAACAAGCTTAGGCAAATAAAGCAGACAACATTTTTTTTATCGGTAGATTCGTATTCAAGAGGAGATACCAAACAAAAAGAAATAATTCTATTTTAAGTAAGATATTGCTTCTTCTATTTTTACAGATTTAACTCGACTACATTTTCAACAAAACGGGTAATTACAACAATACAAAAGATACACGATTTTAATTGTTTCTAATTAATTTACAGGGAACAAAGACATGTAAAACCTTAGAAAACTATAAAACACGAACAAATCTGAATACAAATTGATCTTAATATGATGTAAAATGCCAGGATTCCATAAAAAAAAATCCGGAAAAAAATAGAATGAAAAAAAGAGGTAATAAGTATAGAGAACTTACCGTGGTTGGAAGAGGCTGTAGATAATCCGGGTGGAGATACTGGGCCACACTTGGCGACAAAATACTCGACATGTTAATTGGAGTACTTTCACTCTTTGACTCATTCATTGTTAAATTGTATTAAATATCCACTATAAAACGAGTTTTTTTATCAATAACAATATCCAACAAAAATATTAAAATATCCACATATGATAAGCACAATAATATGAAGAAAAAAATCCGTTCAACGCATCAATTCGTACAATATTACGTTTTAATCCGTACAATGTATATACACATATTGGTGAGTTATTCTCGTTATCCAGATGTAAGACCTGCTATAGGGAGAGACACCTCAGCTTACACTGAATTCAACAGTCTAGTAGTTGGCTGTCAATCATTTCTACAGCTTTACAACAGTCATTTATCTGTATAACATACTCATACCGCCCAGTGAGATCCACACACAATGTCTAGTTTGAACTACGTGCAATCTATAACCCGATAAAACATTACACCTCGTCAGCCAATACGCGCTCAGTATCGCCTGTCACTTCTTCGCCGTCAAGAGTTAGCTCCGCCTAACTGTCACAAGAAATTAATGAGTTTGATGATTGATAACGATCCACGGCGCCTCTACCAATGAGAAATAAAGACTGTAATTGCTTTGGCAAAAGGCCAAAGGCTTTGGTATGGTTTCAATCCATCATGATGATATGCTGCCCGTCTTGACTGCTTTATGTCATCCCGTGTTGTTAATGTACGCTACCTGAAGGGAAAAATGAAAAGATTAAACTGTTCACCGATAGCCAGGCAAACATTTGATAATAAATTCTACATTATCACACTATCATCCGCATTGTGTTTGAAAACTTACATACACAACAAAGTTTCTTTTCCAACTGATTACACAGAGAAAAAAAACCTGATAAGAATTCGATCTTGAAAAACAAATCTTGTGAGAAGTAGATTTTGTTACCTTACAGCTCGAGGTCACGTGGCTTTGACTACATACATATCACTGGAGCTGATCAAAAGCACCGGCACATTATTCAAGATCAAATAAATCAATGTGCCTGTAGGTTGTATGACTGATAAGCCAATGTGATTGACAGATTGAGTACTGGCCTGTCTAAATACTTTCATATCGCGTTTATGAGAACTGATTGAAACTAACAAGTGAAACAAAAACAAGTTATAAGTTGAGAAATTTTATCTCGAGTCAATACGTCAACTGACAAAGAATTGTTTTCGCTTTCTTCAAATCATGTGACGCCAGCGTTTAAGGCCTTCAAATAATTTCTCCTGTTGAACAAAAACAATGGGGGAACAATATGTAACATTAACTAGATCTTTGACCACTTATGGGAGACTACTTTTCTGTATAAAAGCAATTATTTCAAAGTAATTGTGCACTTAATTCAATTAGAAACAGATAATAGTTACTGTAGAAGGGCCAGCGGCTCTTTTTTATATTCCGGAAATCACATAGTCTATGAAATTTGTCGTAGGTAACTCACTAACATACACTTTTATCCCCAAACATGTCATTTATAATATGTTTTAAATGAATGTTGTTTTCAAAATTAAAGCAAATTGGCCCATGGGTTGCGTTCCCGCTGTTAGATATATGCTTTAGAGATATTTGTATGCAAAAAGTGAATAAGTAGCGGATGGACGAGGATGTGTTATCACTAAACGCTGCATTATCATGGAGACATAAGGCATATATTTATCATGTTCACTTATTCAAATATGGTAAACGTCTCATTTATTTGTCCCCCTGTATAATCTTTGAAACAGACTGGCGGGATTTAAAAGAAAATTTGGAAACAAATGAATAATTAAACATGTAAGGTTATACCCTTTATTTCGTTTACGACAAATGCATAAATGATAACATATTTATTTCTATATTTAAGCTCCGAGCAAACAATTCAAAAAAGATATGTTAACATTAAAAAATGTAAATTTCCGACGAAAACGTCAATCTATTTAAATTTTAACACATTATGGTTTAAATTTCCTACACTTCCGGGCAGAACATGTCAAATCGATCTAAATAATATTCAAATATAATTTGTTTTATGCCTCTAACTGCTGAAAAAAGAGTGTACTAGTCACTAGGGACGTGTTTAAATATATCAAGATATGTATAACTGATTGACAGACTTGCCTCGAGTCACATCAATCAACTAATACCGATCGTTATCTATCGCTATCCGACAATATTGTCACCCGGCTCGAAACCACTCAATAGTTTTTTAACGCTACAATATATATACACTCTAATAGCATATAGCAAATGTGCATAAAATAGTAATGACAAGTTGAAATGCGTCTGTAGATTTTTTTTTTACTTGCTATCTGTAAAGTAAATGATAAATTTTGTAATTTACGGTGCAAAAACGCTCGTCAGTGCGCATACATCATCGGGCAAATGGGAGATTTTTAAAGTGATATTTCAGTTTGATGTATAACGCCATTTAATGTTGATTGCACGTAATGGCCAGATCAAAGATACACGTGAATACTATATTGTTTCATCTAAGCAATGAATCAAACCCATAATGAGACTTGCGATGTAGAGATGTCTATAAATTTCCATTTACATATCTTTAAAGGTGGATTGTCAACATAACAGACAAAACGTATCGTAACTCACACAAATGAATATATGCATCTTTTTACTTAAAATACCATTATTGTACTTAAAATACCATTATTTTACTTAAAATACCATTAAGTCAACTGACAATGTTGGTAAAATGGCCAATGCAGATGTTGCTGAAAGAGGATAAATACATAAATAATGTAAAAATAACGATGCAGAAACAACTAAATGTAACACGTGGTCTAAATATAATATAAATGTTTCCATGTATATCATTAGTTATAATGATTTTTTACAGGTTATATGGCCCTATATAAACGGTTGTTTGGAGATATAATCCGAGCCACAAACAACCGTTTTATATGGCCATATAAGCTGTCAGGAATATTTATAACGAATTTATAATACAGCAAACTTTCCTTTTTGAAGTGAGGTTTCTTAGAAAATTGATAGCAGCCGTGCATATAAAACTATATAACCGTCAAGAGTATCCAATTAAAAGCGACGTTACAAATCTGCACTATTATAAAGTATGTATATATAGTATGTTGTTTAAAAATGGAACAATAAGTCAATTTACAAAAAAAAAAATAATAATAAATAAATAAATAGTTCAAAAATGGAGAATCCTTTTTTAAAAAGTTCAATTAATAATAATGCGGGACATTGAAAAACAAAAGAAATTAATAATGTTCCCCAGTCTTACTTTTATAAATACATTTACTGTTCCTGTAAGAGCGAATAAAAAAAAGCACAGATAATGTCGAAACTTTAAAATGATGCAGCAGAAAATAGGGAAGAATGCATCGTTTATTTTACATCACTTATACATTTTTATATCATTAAAATCATATCTTTGTATTTTATCTTAGTTGAATCTAAATTGGCAACCGTCTGAACATATGATGTGCAATGCCTTCAAATAATGTTTCCTGCATTACAAACCTATTAATCAGTTTTGATGAAAAGATTATCTGTAGTGATAAGGCCCTGCACATATATGATATGGTTTATAGATAGGGACCGTTTCTGCAATGATAGATGCATGAATCGCATGCCGCCCTACTACTAGAACGTGTCCGCTTGCAGTATTTTTTTTCCACAGCAGTATAATCACCCGCCGGTCTAATGTTAACATATGATACCAAACACACAAAACATTACACATAACAAGCATGCTGAACAACAAGCAAAAAAAAGAGAAAATGAAAAATGATACATCTCCACACATAAAGTCTTCCTGAAAGGTGGTAATTATTCAATTTGTAGTTGTTGTCACTTGAAACTGTTACCATGACAACAAAAGGCCGCCAGCGACAATTTCGCGGTAGGGTTTGGTGAACGAGTGACAGTGATAAGTACAGACGACAAACAAGTTGACAAGGTGCAGGTCGGATCTGAACCCTCGTTTTATATGTCATTATGACAGTAAATGGTAATCACCCATCAAAATAAAATGGCCGAATTGTCACGTGACGTGCGATAGGTATCAAAATCAATCAACATGTGCGATATTTATTATGGCCAGAAGATAAATACTTCTTATTGTACCTATCATTTATCATCAGTTCGAAAACAGATGATAAAATGACAATAAAAAACGACAGTAAAGAATGACGGTTTTTATAAGATATAAATACATGTAAATTATTTGCTTCAGTTTTACTAATTTATGGCCCGTTAGATTTTGACTGATAAACTTTATAATGGTGAAATCATACGCTTTCATTTATGACTTTAGTTGGCTATTCATCAGTCCATTGTTCAAATTAAACAATCTAATGCCTCTATTAAATAACGATAATGCTTGTGAATTGAAGAAACTGAGAGTAGCAACAAAGGTAATTAGCCTTGTCACCAGTATGGAGTATAGAGCCAGGCCAGCCTGCAAGAACGGGCTCTATACTGTTGGTAGCTCAATTGTTTTTGTATTTTGATATTTTATTCTCATAAACTTTGATTAGATTGAATTGTATTGTTGTTGTTGTTTTGACACGTTTTATTGTACACGGAGAACTCTCAGACTGTTCCAAATTTAAAGCAGTGCAAATCAATTATACAAAATCAGCGTTAAAATCCAATTGCTTACATGAAACTACAATTACTTATTAGAATTGTATTTATTTTTATATATCCATTATGCAAAAATATAAATCCGACAGTACAATTCGTAATACTTAAAGGAACTCCACTGCTCAAATGTCCAAAAGCATTTTAAAAAAAATGAATTTCTTACAAAGATCAAAACAGAAAGATATGCAAAAGATAAATAAGAAATATATAAGAAAATCATATTTGTGCTACTACAAGCCCGATTTTGGTGAAAAGAGTCACCACGCTTTTCAATGTTTGGTCATTTTTCGCAGTAAGAAAAATTATTCTGGAAAAAATTATACGCATGTTTTTGGTCTAGATCTACATCAAATGGAATATTTATATCGAAAAATTATTCCCAGTCTCTCTCGTCATGTCAAAAAACCTTTGTGTAGTCCCTTTAATGTTCATACTAAACCATTTGCAATCATTAAATAAACATTTGCACTATTTTGTTAACCTATTTAATGAGACAAAATCAATTGTTATTTAATCTATAATGATTTAAAAATTTAAAGATGAAAGCTTTTTTTCTTAGCAATGTAAATAATGTGATATATGAAAACAACAATAAACAAGAAAATGCGTCATTTATGCAGAGACATAGATAACATAATGTCTCTGATTTATGTAACTTTTCCCTTCTCAAAGATACAAGAATGTTTCTGATAACTTTGATTTTTATACAAATGATGAATATTTACAAAGACACGGGGTGAGAATCTAATAGAGGATGAACTCCTATAATTATGTTATATACTTGTCATTTTATTGAAGCTTGGTATTTGATAATATACGATTTTCTTTGGTTTTATGTTGGTTGTGTTTTTTTTATACAGAAAAAATATATCGAACGACGACTTTTTACGTTTTTGTTTTTCATTTCCGCAATATTGTTTAACTCAATAAGATATGGGTTATAAATTTAAGGCTCACTTAAGGAGAACATTGCACCTGAGCAAAAATATTTTAAGAGTTCAGTTCACATAATGACT